CATTTATAGTATAATAACTTTTACCCTCAAAATTTCATTCGAAATGCTAAAAGTACTTGGAAGAAAATTATAATAAATCGAAAAAATATCAAGACTTTAACACCCTGTAGCTACGAAACAAAGCGACTATGTTGATATGAAAAATAAATCTTATTTTTACATTACATGTTTATCATCAGCAGATGATTAAAAGTTTTATGTTATTTTAATCATCTCAGGGAAATCTTAAATTTAAGATTACACAAAACTTAGTGACATTAGGAAGTATATATACCCTAGATTATATTGTATGATCTAGGAAGATATTGACATAGAAAAATCAGTTATAGATATATAATTATTTTATTTTTGATAATGCAGGCCAATAAAACAATAAAAATCGGTACTTTTTACTTATCTATGCATTATTTGCCAGGTAATCTGCTGTAATCCTCATGTTAACAAATGTATTACCAGGAATTATTCAACGATTATATATATATTTACTCTGATCTCGACAGTGGCGTAACTATCGATGTACCGTGTGTGCGCATTCCTATATCTATCACATGCTATCGCGAATTAAGCAGAATCGGGCGATCCCGAACTAAGTTCTTATCTATCACATGTCTTCTTAACCACTTAACCAGCACACGCTATCGCGAAAATAACTTATTACTTTACACTTGTTCTTATGCAATTTTATAGCTGTGTTTTCCTTTTTATTTTGCAAAATAAAAATAACAGGAAATATATCATTTTTCATTAGAGCATTAAATTTGTCAAAAAAGGAAATTTGCTGTATTGTCACTGGATTTCTGTACCATCCAATAGAAATAGAACTAAGCTAGTTGTAGCATCAAAAAGAGCATGAAAAAGTATACTGGCCAAACTAGTTAACTCACAATCACAAAAACTCTAGTTACCTATGGTTGTATTAAGGGGACGATAAGGCAGCTGAGTTACGAGGGGTGCCCGAAACTGACACTTTTTTGGCAATTATTTCAATAGAAAATGAAGTTACTCGTACAATAGACATTGGTAATATTGTGTCAACTTTCGCCCATGCTAAAGCAAGGAAAAAAGAATTTTAACATGTTCATGTTCCTATTTATATTGTTTATTTTAATTTAGTTAGTTTTGTTGTTGTTTTTTGTTTTATTTTTATATATTTTTTTATCTATTTGATATTTTATATGTTTTGCGTTACATATTCTGTGTTGCAGTAATAAATAATACTATATAAAAATTAATTTGATAATGTTATTTCTAACCTAAAATATGAGTGCATATTATTCAGATTAGTATATAAGTATTGAAATATGTAGGTGTAATAGGGGGCCCGGTAAAACTTTTGCACACAGGCCCGTAAGTCTGTTGTTACGCCACGGGATCTCGATTGTTCTTCTCACTAAGCCTCATAAAAATTAAGGTGTGTTAACTAGCAATGAGTTTTTAGCTGAAACGTTTGATCATAGATGTCATATTCTATTAAATAAATCTTAAAAAAAGAACTCTAGTGAATGGATGGAATATGATCGGATATTTCAAAAACCACTCGGTATATGACATTATGGAATTTTCAGAATGGAAATTCCACTCAAATAAAAACTATTGATCATTCCAAGTTTAGTTTGAAAATATGTTTGAATCATCCTGTATATTGGAAAAAATACGCTACCATTGTCTGCAAATTTTTTAATAAATTTGAGTGATGTTAAATCAGAAACCTTATATATAAGCGATACCAATTAAACTTCTAGTTACTTAATCGAGGGCGCGATTTTTAAATTCATTGTTGCCAACCATGGACATATTCGGTGCCGGGCTGACTAACTGGAATTTAAATTCCCCGCTGGGGATTCAGATGGTAGCTTCATACAGGTATCGACTTATTTCCTGACAATGACAGTCTATTTCACCAGTCCGAAAAAGTAGCAAAATAAGCGTTCGGCATTTAACGCTTTATGTAAAACTGGCTAGGTATTTTTACACAAATGAAGAAGGTAATTAAAGATAAAGAATTATTCTTCTTCTTATCACGCCCTCTCCTGCCGAAGGTTGACGATCCAAATGGCAATTGTGGATTTCCGCAGACGAGCGTTCAAACCATCTCCTCAAATCTTTTAGCCATGAGTTCTGGCGTCTTCCTACTGATCTTTTCCCTTACACTTTGCCCTCTATTATGAGGCGCAGTATTTCGTATCTACCACCTCTCATCACATGACCCAGGTATTGCATTTTTCTTTCCTTGATGGTGTTCAGTATCTCTTTTTGTTTCTGCATGCGCTGGAGTACTTCATTGTTGGTGATCCTTTGTACCCATAAGATTCGCAGCATCCGTCTGTATATATACAGTGTCCAGCTCTCACATCCATAGAGTAACACAGAGAAGACGTAGCATCTGGCCATTCGAGTTCTGAGATCCGCACTGAGGTCTCTTCTTGTAAAAAATGATTTCATTCTCACGAAGATTTTTCTCGCTTGCTCAATTCTTGAAAATATTTCTCTTTTCGGGTCGCACTGACTATTGATGTTAGCTCCTAAATACTTTATTGAGGTCACTTCGATTGTTTGTCCCTTGAAACGTAGGTGAGCATTTATTGGAGTCTTAGAAAAGACCAATAGTTTGGTCTTGGAGACATTGAGATGCAGTCCAAACATCTCACTATAGTGGACTACGGAATCTATAATGCTTTGCAGTTCTTGTATATCGTTGGCTATTATAACCGTATCATCGGCATATCTGATATTGTTTATTGGGATTCCATTGAACTTGATTCCGCCCTGGATTCGATCCACTGCTTCTCTAAATATAGTCTCTGAGTACAGGTTAAATAAGAGCGAAGACAAGACGCAACCCTGCCGAACGATTTGTATATCTTCCGATGTTGACTGCTTCATCTCAACTACCGCCGTTTGATGCCAATAAAGTTCTGATATGAAACGTAGGTCTTGTTCGTCAACTCCGGTTGTTCTTAGAATTTTGATCATCTTCTGATGATTAACACAGTTCAACGCCTTACGATAGTCTATGAAGCATGCAAATACTAAGCCTAAGGCATGTCTCTATATCTCTGTGTCATTACATTTAGGGAGAAGAGTGCTTCACGCGTTCCGAGTCCGTTTCTGAAGCCAAACTGGGTGTTTTGGTCCATCTGATTTTCGCACCTCTTGTAGATTCGAGTGTGGATGATTCTAAGAAAGGTTTTGAGGACATGGGACATAAGACTTATCATCCGATAGTCATCACATTGTGAGGCGTTGGGTTTCTTTGGCAGGGTTACGAATGTTGATTTAAGCCAATTTGACGGTATTTTGCTTGAGCTATATAATTTGTTAAATAATGCTGTTACCAAATCTAGACTTCTGCTTTCGTTATCTGCAATGAGTTTAAGTATTTCAACGTTTATTTTATCGGGGCCGGTAGCTTTTCCGCTTTTCTGCGCTTTTATTGCATGAACAACTTCGTCTTTGGTTATTGCTGGAGCCTTTTCATTCAGTATGTGATCTATCGGTGGTGGGGAACAGAGTCTGTCATCATTAAAAAGTGTTTCGATATATTCTTTCCATCTCACAAGCTTAGCCTTTACTCCTAGAATTATCTCGTTGTTATCGTTTCTTAGGATTGTTTCTTGGTGTTTTCTGTGTCTGTTTGTAAATTCTTTCACTTTTTTATGAACTTTGAAGGTGTCATACTTTGCTTGTAGTTGCTCTATTTCTTGACATTTTGTTGACATCCAGATCTCTTTCTCTTCCCGGCACTTTTTCCTCAAAAGGATTATACTATATCCTTATTGTAGCACATTTTTAGACAAGTTCTTTATTTTTAAGATTTTGATGGTCAAACATCAACAAAATATTCCTTATGTTTGGACTAAGTTTTCTCGAAAATAAAGACATAATTTAAAATTCCGTTACAATACGGAAACAAATTAAAATTTTGTGAGTCGAGTGATATATAATTTATATGGTTTTGTAACAAATTGCTCGCTATTTTTGACAACAGGAGCCGGCCGGCGAGATCTTTTATTTTAGGTTATATTTGAATTGTTTTGAATTATTGCTTTAGTTTTATTAGGTAATTTGATATTTAAGTTAGCTGGGATTAGTTTTAGTTAAATAAATATGGCCCAAAATATGGATTCCACCACCAATTAAAGAACCTATAAAAAGGCTTAGGTTTACAGCAGATGACGACTTAGCCCTTCTAAGAGAATTTGTTGCTTGTTGCCCTAAACCCATTGGCAGACGTTGAACAATAAAGCACTGGAAATAAGCATTTTAGCCCTTTAGTTTTAAAATACCTAGTAAACAAAACAATTTCAAAGTTTTAAATTCAAAGTTAGGTTAAGTTTAAATAGCGGACGCGACGCGATCAGAATTCTTTCCGATCCGATAACTATAAATGAAGAGAGTTAATACCACCTCACGTAAAGGAAATAACACCTGGCCTTATTAACGTCCATGCACGCTATTCGATTTAGCGATATCTCTCTATTACGCTGTTTATTGTTATTATACACGAGTTTATTTTTGAGCACAGGAAATTTGACTCGTTTGCACATCGTCATAAAAAACAATTTTCTACCACGAATTAGGGACAAGATATTTATCTGTATACTTATAGCATACCTAATCTGTGGTAATAGCCATCTAACGGACAAAAAAAGACTTTTGTATAAAGGTAAATTATGTTGAGTTCATTTATTTCGATTCGAAAAAATACATAGTAGTTCTATATCCACACAATATCGGGACACTCTGTATATATAATCAATAAAATTATTGTTAAAGTGACTGAAACAAAATGTACGCTATTTTTATTATTTAAACAGTATAAAAATATTGACTCCGACTTATTTTTAGACCGCTTCAAAGCAAACAAGTTTGGAACTGGAAAAAAAATGTTCCCCAACACTGCTATATTGTTGACAGGTAATATATGCGTAAAATGACTAATAAAGATAATTCTACATTATTCTCTTCATTTTATTATAACTACTTTTATAAATATTCGACTGCGCCGGTAGATACTGGCTAATCTTTCCAAGTACATAATGTATTAAATGTTATTGACAAATAGTAAATACAATTTATCTAAGAGTCTATATTTGTTTATATGGCGATCTATAGCGCATATCGATGGGAGTATGAAGTAAAATCACGAAAATATAACAATGTGGTAAGTTTTTCTTTTTTCATTCTAAAAAAATGATATTTTAAAATTTCTAGGCGACATAGTCTATAATGTTTTATAATAATAGTATATTATTTTATTAGTAGTAAAAATGACTCATTTTTTTATTTATTCTACAATCAATTTTGTTCAGTGTTGGTAAATTTAGAAGGATATTGTTTGGAACTTAAGTTAATAGTGACATTATTCCGAATTCCAGAAAAAGACTGTAACATAGTTACAGTTGTACAGCGTGGGGTAGACAGGGGTAGATTTCTGTCAAAAAAAAAATATCATAGGTTTACAAATTAAGGTATGTTGGCATTTACCTGATTTTGCATTGATACCTGTTCACTGTTTAATTTTAATTTAAAATTAGATACAGATTTTCTTAAATTAGTTCAAATCGGATTGTGCAAAATGGTTCAAATTTGATAAGTGTATTCAGAAACGCTGTTTAAAAAAGAAACTAGTTACGACTTCGCTGTAAAGTCAACAGGGGAGTCAACACTTGGACAATTCAGAATTTGCACGGGATTTCCTGTTTTCAACGACTATGCACCACCCGGTATAATACACGTTACGTGTAGGCAGTGATGCCAACTCGTGGCAAATTTCCCAATTCATGGGAAATTTCGAGATCTAGAGGGAAGAGGGAAATTTTAACCCAAAACTCCATATTCGTGGGAAATTCTAAAGTTCATGCATAAAAAATAGTTATCGTGCACGCGTTCATCAAACTGAGTAAACTGAATCATTTATAATGATAAACGATGCCTTATTTCGAAAACCTCGTATGTTCAAGACTTAATAGTCTATTGTATTGTAAGAGAAAATCTAGTTATCTTGATTACTGCGCTATCTGTGGACAATTTTTTTTATAATAATTAATAGGAATAGGAATAGACAGTGGCGGATACAGAGGGGGGGGGGGCATGGCACACCTAAAATCTATGAATTGGTTTAAATATTAGGCTTTTGGGTTAAAAATGGCGCTCTAAGAAGCATCTTCTACATTACTTTTTATTTGGGCCCCCCGCCCCTAAAATATTCCTGTATCCGCCCCTGGGAATAGAGCCCCCTTGAAAAGTTTATTGTTTCTCGTATGAAAATAGGTTTTGTATACATAACAGGTTTTTAAAGTAAGGTAACGTAAAGCATTATCGCGGTTACAGTGATACCAACTCGTGGGAAATTTCTCTTGGAAATTTGGAGATCCTGAAAGAAAAGTGATATTTTAACGTAAAACATCTCTATTCTTGGGAAATTCTAAATTCATGTATTAATCGAAAAAAATAGTTATCGTAAACCAGCATTATCGCAACTTAATATACATTTTCGCTTGGCATCGCGCGGTTCAAAGTTTTTTCTACGGTCCCAGCAACAGTGCGTAGCTCCTATATAATAAAAAAAATTAATTGTTTGGAATTTTGTATAAGTGCCAAGTTAAAATATATAAGGATGTTTTTGAGGATAATATTTTAACTTCTGCAGGGTGGCTCAAAAACGAAGAAAAATTATTTTATATTTTAGAAAGTTTGGCATAAAATTTTGAACACCCTGTATGGTTTAAGATCACGATATTTATAGCAAAGTAAGTACAGACCAATAATAGTATACAGGGTGATTCCTGTAAGTCGGTCATGCTTCCGAGGAATGATAAGGGACGTCGAAATATTAATTTTAATATAGCACACTATGGGTCGGAAATGCCTTTTACGCAAGATAAAAGAAAGTTACAAGAGACATTTTTTCTTGGAAATAAACCGAGTAAATAAAAAAACTCCGAAATTTTTATTTTTATCAGTGGCGTACTATTTTTTTTTGAAATTATTAGCCGATGCGTATCACAGCTACGCCACTGGTTGAAACTAAAATCTCTTCTTTTTACATTTAAAGTGTCCCTGTTAGGCAGTCTCCTACAATAAAATTTTATAACGATACTTTCAACTGTTAAAAAACTATTAAAAAATATCTTTAATTTTTCAAAAACTTTAACACCCCGTATCTTGCGTAAGAGGCATTTCCGACCCATAGTGTGCTATATCAAAATTAATATTTCGACGTCCCCTATCATTCTTCGAAAGCATGACCGACTTACAGGAATCACCCCGGTGCAAAAACTTAAATGGCAGGATTTGGAACAAGAATTGCCAAATCCTGCTGTCAGATGGCGCCACTGTCGATTTAAAAATACATGGGCGGAGTAAGAGGGAAGGAAAAGTTTCTTCCCGCCACCCGTCTCATCGTAATATTTCGTCATTTTTCCCGGCAGCCATCAGTGCCTAACTTTTCTGGAGCTGAGAGGTATGTGTTTTGTGGTTGTGAGTGTCGTAGTGTTCATTCTCAAAGTAAAGACGTTTTATGTTGTGTGCCCGGCCTTTATAGTGTATTATTTTAAATTAAAAACTTTTTATTTTGTGTATCCATTTAGAGTGAATTATTCTTTATATGTAAGTACCTAGAAATTAGTTTATAATAATATAACCTGCTCGATAAAAGCTAGGTTAGGTTAGGTTAATTGTACCTTGGAAATGGCTATCGATGATAAGGAAGATTGATATTCATTAATTGGTTAGATTTACTAATATAATTTACATTTTAAATGCCATCAATTGTCATTCCTAAGGTGGCTTGATGCAGCTTTTCGTAATCGTATGGTACAATATGATCGAAAAAAAAACGGCGTCACCGTTGGCTATGAAATAAATATCGCTGTCATTCTCTCTCTATATGTAAAATTATATGAGGAACGTCATCGACCGCGTCATTTCCAAGCCAACTTGACTTCGTTTTTTCGATCATACGGTATTACTTTAGTATTACCATGTACCTAGGTATAGAAATTTAGAAAACAAAAAGAATACAAAAATAGTTGTATATATATATATTTTATCCGAGCAATAATTGTAATGTTTAATTTTTAGTTGCCTATAAATTTAATGAGCCGCATTTGTATTGTAAAATTTCGAAATCTACGAAAAAAGAAAAAATAAATAAAAATTTATAACAAAAAATAAATGATTTTTATTATAAACTTCCTTGTAATATCTGGTATATAATCAATTCACATGTGTTATTAATCATACACCTATTATTAAGTTAAATCTGATAGTACTTTTTGATTTTGGTATAGAAAATATTGTAATGTTATTTTTACCGCATGTGTATTGTTTAACAATTATAGACTAGATATTTGTTTGGCAAGTATATTAAATCAAACATCTTTACAACATATTTTTTTTTAAAAAATATATTGTATAAGATGTTTATTTAACTTTACTTGAAACAAATTATCTGGTATAAAAATCATCCTAGTTTAAATATTGTATGATCGAAGAATACGGCTTCAAGTTAACTTAGAAATGACTATTGATGACATTAACCATATAACTTTACAAAGAAAATGTTATCAATCGTCATTTTTAAGTTAACTTGGAATCGTTATTTTTCGAACATACGGTATATTAAATTAATTAGGTGTAATATAATACTATAGATGGCGCTGCCAAAATTGCTTTGAATGCAATGCAGATTTCTTTTTAAAATTTAATTGTAGATTTCTTTTTTTTAAATTTAATTTGTAGTTCTAAATCCGTGTCATAGATGGCGTACCAAAATGTTGTCCTAATTTTTTGTACGGAAGATTTCGTTCTGTTTTAATCTGTTCTGTGGAATCACCCTGTATATTTATATAGTTTTGATTTCAGAACATTTCTTGAATTTTTAATAATTTAAAAAAAGGCTGAAAACACTTCTTTTTTTATTTATTTATTAATATTTTTGAATAATTATTTACTCATATTTCAGGATTATGTAAAGTGACGAGAAAGGAAGCCAAAAATGCAATAATATACAGGGTGTTCCATTTAAAAAAAATCATCCCGATTCACTCACACTTTTTTGAGCCTCCCTGTAGAAATTAAAATATTACCGACGCACTGTTATCGGACCCGCAGGAAAATCTTTGAACCGTGGCAACCCCTATATGCGGCAACTTTATTTAGCCCCCCTAGCCCCCCCTAGTTGCGGCACTGTCTATAGATCCAAACAGAAATAAAAATATTGCTAGATACAATAGTTTTGTCCAGGAGTGTATATTTATTCTTCTCATTGATGATGCAGTTAAAAAAAAATTATATCACCGCAGATTATTGTTGTTATCACAATATTATCGATGTGCAAACTTCTGATTTTGGTAATTCCTAAACATATTTTTCTATTTTCAGTAAGAGCGCACTTGCGTGTCGGTTCGCAAACAATGAACAACGTTAAAAAACCTTTTTCAGAATTGTTATCTTTCGTAATTTTTTCATTTGTTAGTGTTATTTTATCTCTATGCAAGTAAGTCGCATTAAATGGTTCAAGTTTAAGGTGCTTTTATGGTGTTTTCGATAGGAATCATGGCTGTGGATGTGAAAATTGACGAGAATATCGATGTTGACGATCTAAGGTTCTATTCGCCGCCATCATTGCATGAAGAAGCTCCTTTTGTCAAAAATATGTTTTACAAGTGAGTAGTAGATACAGTTATTTATAATAAGTATACTCATATAAGTTTAATATTTAAATATTTTTTTTAACTTTTAAAGTTTCAGAAGTTATCAATATTTAAGCAAAAAATATATTTTTATTGAAACGACACAAAAGTATTATTATTATTTTTGCGACGTGATTGACAATCATTATTTGACAATATTGTTACGTTTTTTCGTCGGTTCCGTGTGGATAGAAAGTCACAATTTATTTAAACACAATTTATTTAACACTAATTAACAAACAATAGCGATTAAAAAAACTTAAAGGACTATTTATAACTTATTTACAATTTATCTAACTATTTATCTAACAGGAATTTATTTTGAATTAGCGCGGCGATTGTAACTGTACCCGTCGACCGGTTGTTTTTCTCTCTCTCCTCTTCTGGCTTCGGGCGTCTGCTTATATATGAGAAAAACAGACAATCCAGATTTGTCCCGACAATTCTTAGCCGTTCTAGAAGGTCGGCGTCGCCGGCGTATGAGTCATAGCCGAGTGGCCAAGCCTAAGGCCGAGTTCACACGGTACGGGTCCGCAACAATATAAAAACATAATTTTAACGCCTAGGCATAAAAGTGAAGTACTTTTACGCCTAAGCACAAAAGTACGAAAATATATTATTAAACTGACATAAAGTGTCACATTCAACGAGCGTAATCATAGTTTCTCGATAATTACTTACAAGGTATTACTTTTAGATATTTTTATATAATTTTCAACGTTTGAAATTGTTTAAAAAATGATTTGTGACGTTTGAAAAAGAAATAGCATGTTCTATTCGGGTTAAACAAAGCTACAGAGGGTTAAAGTTTTATTTTTTTTTGTTTTATTAAAATTTTCTTCCAAGTGCTTTTAGCCGATTTAAATAAAATTTTAAGGGTAAAATTTACTATAGGTGCGACATATTTTAATGCTGAATCTGTCAATACATTTTTGGTATTAAAATATGTAGCACTTATAGGTAACTTTTGCCCTCAAAATTTTAATCGAACTACTAGGCATTTAGAAGAATTGGATTATATTAAATCGAAAAAAAAACTGAAAACTAATTCCCTGTAGCTACAAAAGAAAGCAGAATCGGACATACGTTGATATAAAAAATAAATCCTAATTTTAAGTGAGGGATTTCCCCATGAGAAATGGGACATCTTTTTTTAAACACCCTGTATAGATAAGTACCTATAATGTGGTACCTATAAAGGCCTAAACTACTACAGTACCTATAATACTTATAAAAATATGTATGTATGCGCATACATAAATGTAAACACATAAATAGATATAGATGTATGATGCCAATGCCACAAAGACATATTCTTTAATTTTCAAACTCCTTTCTTCAATAATACCGTATGATCGAAAAAAAAAACGGCGTCGAGTTGGCTTTTGAAATAACGATCAATGACATTCCTCATATAATTTTATAAATAGAATGACAGCGATCTTTGTTTCATAGCCATCGCTGACGTCGTTATTTTATCATATTGTATATGCTACGGTAAGACGTTTGTATAAAGTTTTCAGTATTAACTCCTGTGGTGCCAACACTAGGTACATCTTTATTTCTTTCTTCAGTTTCATTTTTGTTATCCAATTCTGTCAATTTTCCTTCAATGAGTTCAACAAAATGCGATTCAAGTAGGTCATTTACACCTTCCTGATGCAATAGGGTTCCCAACTTGAGCATCGGCGATTACGGGACAATTATATTTAAGCTTTTAAATAATTGAAACAAAACATTAAATATTAGAAATTAAAATATATTATGTGGGTAGTACACACTTTTTAGTTTCCAGGTCCCGGCCAAGACAAAACTTTCGCCGGGACAAACTTTCTGATTCCTGGTTAATCCCGGCCAAACGGGGACGGTTGGGAACCCTATGATAAAAACACTAAATCACCACAATACACCAAAAGACTTTTATTTTACACTGGACGCGCGTTTCGCTAACCATGTTAGCATCATCAGCAGATGATTATAAACTAAAGTACAATCTACAAGTTGAACGTTTATATACTCGCTCAGTGGGCACCAAGTGGGCGTGGCAAAATCTAGCCAACCGAGTCAGAGACAACTGAGCGTAACAGTTAGATTTCCGCCACTAGAGTAGTAGGAACAAAGAACTTGAAGGAATTGGACCGTTGACTCTGTTCATACTATCTTTACATTTATTAATTCTGATGCTTTCATATGCATCTAGTTGCCTGTAATTTGAGACTTGCTTAATTAATTTTAAATTATTAAGATCTATACAATGTTCATTATCAACAATATGTTCAGCAAGGCAAGATTTATCCGGTCTACCATATCTTATCTGAGCTAAATGTTCTTTAAATCTAGTTAATATTGATCTTCTAGTTTACCTAACATATTTCTGATTACAATCTTTACAAGAAATTTCATAAATACCCGACCTTTCCAGTGGAGGTGTTTTATCTTTTGGATTACCTAATAATTGTTGTAATTTATTATTAGCACTATACACAAGTTTATAATTGACATTCTTAAAAATTCCTTTTAGACCACGGGATAACTCTCTATCAAACGGTATTGAAAAATATTTAGACGTATCTTTCTCCACTTGAAAAGTCGAATTTTCAGAAATCATTAACCTATACCTACGTTTTCTAATTAATTTATCAACTAGTGAAGGAGAATATCCATTACATTCAGCTACATTCCTAATGTAATCTCTTTATATCTTTCGTTGGAAAGTGGGAAACTAAGTAATCTATGAACTAAGAAATTTAAACTAGCCATTTTATGTTCAACACTATGATGTGATTCATTAGGAATATATCTGCGTGTGGTCGTATTTTTCCTATAGATATCAAATTCCAGGCAATTATTAGTATTTCTAATAACTAATACATCTGGAAATGGTAATCTGTCGTTCTCAATTTCATGCGTAAATTTAATGGAAGGAAAACGATTATTTAACTTAAATTAATAAAATAAAATTATCTATGGTGTCTGAATGTGTGTCAAAAACAGCAAAAATATCATCCACATACCAAACCATACTCTTGGAAAATACTCAAACTGATTCTTAGCCTCCACTTCAAACCTGCTCATGAATAAATTAGCCAAAAATGGAGACAATGGATTACCCATTGCTGTACCTTCCCGCTGTTCAAAAAAGTTGTTATTAAATTGAAAACAATTTTGTTTCATACATAACGATGTAAGCTCAATATATTCACTCAGAGTTTTGTTGTCGAGACCATTTGCGTTCAGTAATTCCTTCAAGTAGCCTAAAGTATGTGGAATTGGAACACTTGGGAACAACGAAGATACATCAAAGGAGACCAAAATTTCACCCTCATGCAATGTTATATCTTTAATTTTGTTAATGAATTCAATATTATTTTTAACTGAGAAAGAAGGTTCATGATCAGGTAAATTTTCGAACTCCCTTGATAACCATTTTGCCAAATTATAAGTCGGAGAACCTACAGCCGAAACAATTGGGCGCATAGACTTGTCCAAGCATACAATTTTGGTAATGAGGGATTGGATACTTGCAATTTCCTCTTTAAAGAAAGATCAATAAGGGTGTTACATTCTTTTAGAGTTTTTTTAACGTCTGCTACCATCTTGGACAAAGGATTCTTTTTCAAATTTATGTAGGGGCCATTATCGATTAAGTTGTTAACCTTATCGTAATAGTCTTTTTTATCTAATATAACAACCTTATTTCCCTTATCAGCTTTTAGATAGAAACAATCTTTGTTACGCAAACTCTTGACAATATTGTGCTCTTTATTAGATTTTAATGAATTACTTGAAACGATATTTTTTGATAACTGATTTCTACAAGCCTCTCTTGTAAATACTTTAGAAGCCTCGGGCAAGTGCTGAATAGCAGTTTCAACACCAACGACGATTTCCTTCAAAGCGCTACCAGAGTTGGGCAATGCATACTTTAAACCTTTGTTTAATAAACTGAGCTCTTGTTTATCAAAAGTCTGCGAAGAAAGATTTTCTACTATGTTTATGTCTCTTTGGAAAACATGTTTGTTTTTAGAGCTTTTTAATTTTTTAAACTTATTATTCAAAATGGACATTTTCTTAACAAATTTTGAATTGATAACCACAAACATATTTCTCTGAAAGAGACACCAACATTCATACTCTACATATAAACGCTCAACTTGTAGATTGTACTTTAGTTTATAATCATCTGCTGATGATGCTAACATGGTTAGCGAAACGCGCGTCCAGTGTAAAATAAAAGTGTTTTGGTGTATTGTGGTGATTTAGTGTTTTTATTTTGCTGTGTAACACCAAAGGTTTCAACCCTCAACTGTAACCCTATGATGCAAGTAATTGAGTTCATCTCCAGGCAGCGACTTTACTATAAATCAGCAATTTCTTTAATTTGATTTCTGTACCAAACCAATGTTATTAGTAATTTGAAAACAATATGTAATGTAATCTATATAATACAATAAGTTTGATAATTATAGGTACTTATTGGTTGTACTTTTTATTTTTATGCGTATGGCTACAAAAAAAGAAAGGTAAACACTTATTTCTAATTTAGACTTATCTCAAGTGATGTAGGTATTATCTCAGACAAATAATGTAAACATAAGACAAATTTTACTGTACAAACAGAAGGTACTCAAGATATACAAACTGGATATAAACAGAAAAATGCCACACATTTGTTAGAAAAAATATTAACAAAGAGGTATAATTATTATGGTAGTAATTAAATTACATATAAAGATTTTGGGTCTTTAAAAACATTTTTTTACTTAAAATTAAAAACTTATATGAATTTTTATTGGTTTCTGTATCAATAATTTTATTCATAATAATATAACTCGGATTTGAAGAGTCATAATAAAAGTTTACAGTTTTTTGCTTTCAAAATTGAATTTGGCAACACAACGGCTGTTTGTTTACAAGATAAGGCCTTGGAGTATTAGAATTTTGCTTGGTTTACATTTTTAATGCCGGCTATA